CAAATGTGGGAGGGTTTTACCACAACATTTTTCTGGTGGGTGACAATAAACAAAAATATGGATTGGATAAATTATATCTATTACAACCAACAACGATTTATTGACCAGACTAGAGATGCAGTAAAGGGGATCTCCGAGCGATTATCCGCCATCCCACTCATAACTTAGTAGAGGTTGGTTCTAGATCAGGCAGAAAGGGCCGGTGTCTATAGAATGATAAACCATTGTTGCACATTTATCCCTACCAACACCACACTGGATGGGACAGTCACCAGAGCTCTTACAGAATTAACTGCACTAAGTGAAGAATGAACTGAGAACTCAGAAGTTAGTACATCATGGATAGGGTGGTTTGAGGAAATATTTGGTAAATGGAAAACCATAGCAGCCACCATCTTAGGAGCGGTCAGTGTTTGTATGGGTATTCTTGTATTATGTGGTTGTTGTCTTGTTCCCTGTGTCCGAGGATTGGGGAGTCAGGCGTTGGTGAAATGCAGTATCTAAACAATGATGAGAGATGGACTGACTCCGGACTCTGACCAGGGGAATGTGAAAAACGATCCTCCAGGCTTGGTGGATGACGAGGATTTGGACCCTGAAAGACCGCAATTGGATGAAATGTTTATTAGTTCTGACGTGATCTCTGAGATTAATCATGCTTGTAAAATACATTTATCCTGAATGTGAAGACCTTTAGTCAAAGGGGTGGATTGTTATATTAATTTGTATTTTAAGAATAATGACTAAAGGATTTCACCCCAAATACAGTATAAATGTGTAAACTGTGTTACAATTATCAACCCACTAACAGAGGGGGGGGGGGGGGGGGGGGGGAGACTAAACATTCCAGGGTGAAGGAGAAAGGTGGAGACTGTTTAAGAAAGCCTCCTAAAGGTGGGCGGAGCAAAGTGCCTTTGTGTGTCAAGAGGTATAAAACAGGAGTGTATGGGTTTTGGCGCCAGAGCTCTCCATGAATAAAAAGACAGATCATTCTTGTTGGTTGTGGACCTTGAATCATTTATGATTAAAACCAGAGCCTTACAACCTCTGGTAATGATACAAGCTTAGGTTGAATTAGAGATAGAAATTCACTAACAACATCCCAACACTTCATATATATTCTCAACGAAAGATTTACTTTTATTTTAGTCCAAACCACGATAAGGACTGTATGAAGAAATATAACTGTAAATGTTGAGACATTTACTCAAATGAGTTTAGCCAAACACACTTTATATAAAAATGTGACTTTGTGACTTGTCTTGCGAAAGACCTGAGAGCTGAAACATCAACATTAAACAGTCTCAATTATATCTCTTCTAATTATTTTTCCTATTGTACAACTTCATCCATAATCACTGTTTATATTTTATTCTTAATCACATTAAGTTCCACTCAGATAGTGTTATTATTCTGTAGGTTTGGGAAGAAATAGCTGTGTATATGTATGTTACAACCCTTACATAGTCCTTACCAACAGTGTGTGTATGTTGTGATGATTCAGAAGCCTCTGATGCCATGAGGTGGCATACTGTATGTGTGTAAGGTGGAGGGAGGACTGTGACTGGCTGTGTTTAGGGAGACTGGAATTATACACACATACAGCCAACCAGCTCTGTCCCCCAGGCTTAAAGCCAATTTATGCTTGATCTGCAAATGTGGTCGGAGGCGCAGTATGGATGGTGTGAGGCAATTGCGGAGCCTCTGGAGGGATGCAGAGGCCAAATTGAGCTCGGTACCGCATCGCTGTGTGCCTCTCAAATGTTGTAACAATGCGGAGGGCTCCGTATAGCTCCGCATTGACATGATTGGTTGATGGTAGGTGGGGGCGGAAGGTCCTGTATAAACACAAACCTACTTCCTTGACAACTTCCTTCACAACAACTCTGCGCTACTCGCAAAGCGCAAAAAGTATGAATGCCCTGACTTCTGCAGAGGCCATATCACTGTAAATGCTGCACGGCCAATGCAGACATCAGATTGATCATTCGGCGCCTTTTATACTTCCTTCACGGTCTACTCACTGATGGCTTATTAGTCTAGGCACTTGTCAAACTCATTCCACGGAGTGCCGAGTGTCTGCGGGCTTTCACTCGTCCCTTACTTGATTGATGAATTAAGGTCACTAATTAGTAAGGAACCCCCCTCACCTGGTTGTCTAGGTCGTAATTTAAAGGAAAAACCAAAAACCAGCAGACACTAGGCCCTCCATGGAATGAGTTTGGCACCCCTGGGCTAGACTGACTGGTTTGTTTGTTGACACGTTGCACCACTTTAGTGAATTCTATCATTAATTAGATCTGAATAACATTGTCATAGATCTAGGAAACAGACACATGACACACAACAAAGTTTGTTCGTTCCATTTCATTTCTCAGTTTTTCAAAGAAACAAAGTGACATTGTTTACATCACAGGCAAGAATCATCAGCATTATTCTATTTTGAACAGAAATCTTTTCCATAACATTTTCATGAACCCCATGCCCATATCCCTCTCCTGAAGCCTACTCCCGTATACACAGAATACTGTACATACCCATAGATCCTGCTCCTTCTCTTTACAATAGAATACATTATACATAATTGTCAGTCAATGTATTATTAATAGCATAAAAATAAGTATACAGCTCTCTCCTAACAGGATCCATTACCCTGATTGTACATATCATACCTTTTTCCCACAATTACAGGTAGGACCTTTGATACGGTGAGGGGTCTCAGTATATATGTCTAATTTCTACATCACTTTGTACCGTGTTATGCTGAACACACTACAGCCACAGAGAACACATGTCTCTGCAGTTCACCAAACTAAGAATCTTCAGACTTGACAGAATTCTGGTTATTCTAGAATGCAAAGCGCCTTTATACAGCTACTGTGTTGTATTATGTGAGAGTTAATATTGAAAATAATAAGGCATTAAAAGATGGTAGAACGAAACCCAGTCAAACACAAAGACTCTTAACTGGACTTGGCCATAGCTACGGTAGTTAAGTGAACCAAAATGTAGGGGATTTAAGGTGAATCCTAAACCTTTCCCAGACAGTCCTTGGGATTTAAGACCAACTGTCACGTCTGTTCAAATTCTTTAGACATGATTATGAGGTAAAAGAAGCTCATTAATGAAAATCCCCAATTAAGAATAATCATTTTAAGGGAATAAGAAAGAAAGGTATATTATAAAAGTCACATCAAGCAATGCCATTGGCCTGTATGGTGAGACAAACTTAAGATTAAAAACAGAGTAAGTCTACCATAGTGAAGCATGAGTAATCCATTGATCTATGGCTGTGATTACACAGGTAGCCCAATTCTGATATTTTTTCCACTACATCAGATCTTTTCACATCATATTTTTTTCAGAGTTGATCTGATTGGTCTAAATACCAATTACTGAAAAATAGATCAGAATTGGGCTGCCTGTGTGAACATAGCCTATGTAATACAGGATTTTGGCACTAAAGTTCTCTGCATTAAAGCACAAGATACTGGCAGTAATGGGCTATGTTCAAATCACTAAAGGGATTTCATAAAACTGAATCACCACATCAAAAATACCACTTGTTTTTTTCTGCAAGAAAATCTAACTGGTACGGGAAAGGGGGGGATATAAGGGAAGGGGGGGACCTAGTGAGAATGAGTGAGGGTAACCGTTAGTGTGTGGACACCAAAGAACACAGGCAGCCAGGCACTTGAGTGTCTTTTTCGGATGCACAGAGGACGTAGCCTGGTGCCTGATCTGTTTGTGCTGTCTTGCCAACTCCTATGGTCAGTCGGAGTTGGCAAGAAATAACAAACAGGTCTGGGACCAGGCTACAGGGGATGTGTGTGAGATATGATTTTCAGTCACTGTGTTATAAAGCGGGAGGGAACCTTAACAAGTCAGTGAAAGGAATTAATATTATTATTATTATTATTACATAAATAAAAATTACCCTGTTGATCATTGTGGGAGGCCATAATGTGGTCTGGAAATATCTTAATTAATTGATATCCATCACCACTGTAATCATGCTCTTTCTCTCGCGCCTGCACGCACAGCATTCTATAATCACATTGATCAGACATTCAATACCATTCTCAGCCTGTTAGTGTAATAATGTTCTGGCAAACACAAGTAGTAAATGTCACAGCAATAGTCGTCACAGCAGTAAATGTGACGACTATCAACCTCACCTACTCAGCTGAACCACATGTAAGACTATTAAAATGTGTGTGTGTGTGTGTGGTTGGCATTATACAGCGCTGGTTTTTGGCTTAGCTCCAGCTGGTACTGGTAGGGTTCAGGCAGGAGAGTGAGGAAACGAGAGCTTTCATTGTGGCTGAAGCGTGAGGCACAGCATAAAGTAAAAAGAGGCTATTCTTTTAGTATGTTTCACAAACACAGTAAGGCAGTTTGATTATGCTTACTATATAACTAAAACTCTCTATTATGTTTTCTGTCATTTTCAACATATATTCTTAACACAACATTATATTCAAGACATAAACATAGTTTTCCCTCTCACAGACCAGTTCCAGATTCCCTGTGTAAAAATGTCTACAAACAAAACATTAGGCACTTTTTAAAAAGTATAATATATATAGATTTATTTATTTATGTAGCTTTCATCAACATATGTATACTATATACTTTTTAGTATGTACCTTTCTACTATTTCACACTTGTATAACAATTTCCATAAGTTTATGTTAAGGAAAAAGAAACAAATGTAATCTTGATTGGCTATATTCTTCAACCTCAGCGAACCATGTTGTGTTGGTTATGACCAGTAGTCTTTTGGCACACATTAGTATTGGATAGCAATGACAAAGAGTTCATGATGATTTGATGGGTATGCCTTCACCTCTGATACTCATCTTCCAGTGAAAAAGGTCAGTAAGGAAACTATATAGCTGTGTATACTGTTGCCAACCAATCCCACCACGGGTTAGTTAGGAGGAGTGTTGGACAGTGCTGCTCAACCCCAGGAGCAATGTCCAGATGAAGATGGATCATTAACATTCTGAAAGAAAGGAAGAAGAAATATATGTGTAAACAAACAAATCATAACAAAACCGACAAAGAGTGGTCTAGGATCTAGGATTTACACCTCCGAAGCCTAATGGAAAAATGGTTGAAAATCTCTTTCTTTGTCTCTATCTCTCTCCCATTTAGCTGTAACTGTAATGTCAATCAATAGAATGGGTTTATTTTCTTCCTCGCTGTCTGTACACAGGTCATTTAACAATGCCACTAGAATACCCTTCAGTCTGTTAGAGAGTGAGCTAGACTGCATCCCCCCTCTCCCCCACCCATTTCATAATGTGATCTTTTTGAAAGCCGCATCAAATAATTCTATTTTTGTCTTGGTTTTAGCATTACAAAAGTACAGGTTTTGAAAGCTAAAGTAACATTGCATCTGTGAGTGTATCACTGAAACAACGCAGTTTCAATTGACACACAAACTGCACACAGTACAATAGAAAATTCAGGAAGAAAATAAAATCTTCATAGGGCAATTATGATTAATGATCTCGCATGGAAGTGTTTGAGTGGATGTTTGTGGGCATCACTGTAGAGTAGTAGAATAGCACAGAAGGATATCAGGGTTCTGCTTGGGAACAACCAGCTTGGGGATGAGGATTGGAGCCAAAGAGGGCAAAGGGGAGTAAACACTAAGCCCAAAGACAAAACAAGGGGCGCTTGGCTTGCTTCGGCAGTGTTTCAGTCGTGGCAGCAACAACAAAACACATTCCACTCCTGCTACACTATATATGAGTCAACAATAAACAACAGCAGACCCCTTATAATGTGGTCAAATCAAAGAATTATACATATTTGTAGTCTGAAGAAACAGTTTTCAAAGCGGTTTATAAGCATGGCATTGGGCCTCCACCAGCATGAGTAGCCTACGGTCCCTCACTACTCGTCTACAGCACAAGAAGCACAGACAAAAGACCTGATGAATCCACCTCAGATTGGAGTGATTCTGGTCTGTTCTGCCCAGCAGCCACATCTGTCTTCTCCACTGTTACGGTTACTGCTTCTGTAGTGACCTCAGTCAGCGCTGGAAACTCAACACAAGCACTCTTGTAAAGAGCTGAAACAAGGACTTCTCCTTCCTTCTTACCTCACTCCTCAAGAGTTCTCAGCACTCTTCTCTCTTATTCCTTTTGATAACAAAGTGTAATACATGGGATATGAGCCCAAGTCTCCCACAGGAGCAACCAACTTCTTAGACCATTAGACCAAGAGGAAATTCCCTATTAGCCTGAGGGCAGACACTGGTTCTGAAGTTTGCAGGCGTAGCTACCTCAACACGTGACCATGACCAACTCATCCCCACTACAAAATCATCTGCATTCTGTTGTCATAAAAATTCAATATTTCAACATCCACAACTAAATACAAATCATTCAGCCCCAACTATTCATATCTCAAGTTTGCCGGCAGTAAAGAAAATGTCAATGTCAATGACAATCCATAACCCTCTCTCATCTCCTGCATCATCCTCTATTCCAATGCAGGTTTTGTTCCTTTTGAAAAACACATCCAGTCAATGGATCATGTACTCTGGCTTCCATCTCTATAAAACATAGACACACACAATATCTTACGGTTTTGCCATGTGAAAGCCTATATCCAACAAGACACCCACACATTAACACAAACACCTGGCAACAGGCCTGACCCCTCCACCTACACCCATGTGAAATGGCTCATTACCAGCAGACAAATCAATTGGCTTTGCTCTCAGAATGCCCACTTGTGAAAATGAGAGACTCTCTATATTCAACCCTCAGCCTGGCAGGCAGCTCAACACTTCTCACAGACTGGAATCCAAGGTACACATCAGACATGGCTGAAAGCTTTAGGGAGAAAACAAGGATCCATAGATCAAGTGTGTCTGGCTGGCTGAGGAGTTGAATGTTGCACTAAGAGGAGTAACCACTTTATGTTGGGTGATTGTTGTTACCACACAAGAGCTGTGTGGCCTGTTTAATCACACACTGAAGGATAAGCACCTTGGGGTTGATTAAATGGTTTCATAACAAGGAGGAGATGAAGAAGAGAGAGTGAAAATAGGTTGTGATGGTGAAAACAGGCTGGGTGGAACAGCGCAATGGGGAAGGGGGGGGATGCAGAAGGATCAGAATCAAAACAACAACACTTTCAGTGGCATCACTAAGGAAACGAAGCGAATAAGACTTCCTTTGACGTAAGCAAAATCAAAGAACCAAAAATACCTGGCTCCTTTCTCCAGGCTCTGTAACACACTGTACATGCTGCTGACACAGGGCTCAGGAGTAATTATTTGACATTCATTGACAGCAAACAATCTCTACCACAGGTAATGAAGATCACTGACACTGGTCTGGGCCCAAGGGATGACATGGTTCTACGTACAGCCTGCTGACCACCAGACATGTCATAGTTTATGGTTCAACTTCAGTCATACGGTTCTAAAGGATGATATGTCCTAAAGGATCATGTAACCTAACCTGTATTTCACATTTCTTTATACATGGCTTACGGTACATCACCCTAAAGGGTCTCCTTGACCTGAGAAGTAGTCATTCATTATACCAGCAGTAAACACTCTAGAAAAGTGTGTCCTTGCAACAGTAACAAAAGCATTTATAAAGGCAATCATGTAAAACAGCTAAGAGGGTAAAGGTTACAACAAAACAAACAGTCTTAAACTTTTTTTCTGTGTGTTGCTCCAGAATTAAGAATAAATTAATTGGATTTGGGTAGAATTAAGGGGGAAGTCAATATTGTGTGTATTTCTCCCCCTCCCCAATCTCTGTGTAATCCAGGGTAGGCCTTTATCAGGTTGCATAAACTAAAACAGTCCTAGTTTACCACACACAGCATCTGCTACGTTATTAGGCTATTAATGCTTTTAATTCTACATAATAGTTGGGTGCCAGTGCCACTCAGATCTACTGCAACCCCTATACAATGGAAGCCATTATTTCTCCAGCCATCAATGGGTTAGATTTTAGCTTTCATAACCCAGCACAATCCATTGGCTAGACAACGTCTCAGAGCATTTCGTATTATTCTGTAAGTAAATCCATTTAGTATGCTATGTTACGTTTCGTATGATATGTATTACTTTGTGGATGTCCATCACCCATTTCATATGATATGTTATGAATTACAATTCGTATTATATGTTATGAATTTGCAAAATGTATCATATGGGCGCGCAATTGGCCCAGCGTCGTCCAGGGTAGGGGAGGGAATGGCCGGCAGGGATGTAGCTCAGTTGGTAGAGCATGGTGTTTGCAACGCCAGGGTTGTGGGTTCGATTCCCACAGGGGGTATGAAAAATAATAATGTATGCACTAACTGTAAGTCGCTCTGGATAAGAGCGTCTGCTAAATGACTAAAATGTAAATGTAAATGATATGTTACGAATTCTAGCTAGGTGGCTAACGTTAGCTAGATGGCTAATGGTAGCTAGGCTATGGGTTAGGGTTAAGTTTAGGAGTTAGATTAAAGGGTTAAGGTTAGGGTTAGGGGAAGGGTTAGTTAAAAGGGTTAAGGTTAGGAGAAGGGGAAGGGTTAGCTAACATGCTAAGTAGCTGCAAAGTAGTAAGTAGTTCAAAAGTTGCTACTGAGCTAAAATGCTAAAGTTGTCCACGATGAGATTTGAACTCGCAACCTTTGGGTTGCTAGACATTTGCGTTATAAGCCCACCCATCCACCCCACTTTTGTTTTTTCTTTAAGTAACCATCTGTTTTATGTGACCATATCAAACGTAACATATCATACTAGTTTGAGTGTCCCGGATTTAAGTTTACTACTGTATGTTTTTGTCTATTCTAGGAGACCAGGCTGCTCAGAGAGGGCCAGAAAGGTGACAGGGTTTGTTTGAGGTCATTTGAGAAAGGAGTATTGGTGTAACATGCTGCCCTCTGTGTAAATTGACTTTGCATTGCAAACTCTGATGGTGATATAATAAGTCATTTTAAGCAAGGATGCCAGCCAACACCTCAACTCTGAACCTCAACCCTGTATTTAAAAAATATATATATATATATATATATATATATATATATATATATATATATATATATATATATATATATATATATATATATATATATATATACACACAGTGGAGAGATTAAGTATTTGATACACTGCCGATTTTGCAGGTTTTCCTACTTACAAAGCATGTAGAGGTCTGTAATTTTTATCATAGGTACACTTCAACTGTGAGAGACGGAATCTAAAACAAAAATCCAGAAAATCACATTGTATGATTTTTAAGTAATTAATTTGCATTTTATTGCATGACATAAGTATTTGATCACCTACCAACCAGTCAATCAATCAATTTTATTTTATATAGCCCTTCTTACATCAGCTAATATCTCGAAGTGCTGTACAGAAACCCAGCCTAAAACCCCAAACAGCTAGTAATGCAGGTGTAGAAGCACGGTGGCTAGGAAAAACTCCCTAGAAAGGCGAAAACCTAGGAAGAAACCTAGAGAGGAACCAGGCTATCAGGGGTGGCCAGTCCTCTTCTGGCTGTGCCGGGTGAAGATTATAACAGAACCATGCCAAGATGTTCAAAAATGTTCATAAGTGACAAGCATGGTCAAATAATAATCAGGAATAAATCTCAGTTGGCTTTTCATAGCCGATCATTAAGAGTTGAAAACAGCAGGTCTGGAACAGGTAGGGGTTCCATAACCGCAGGCAGAACAGTTGAAACTGGAATAGCAGCAAGGCCAGGCGGACTGGGGACAGCAAGGAGTCACCACGGCCGGTAGTCCCGACGTATGGTCCTAGGGCTCAGGTCTCTCAGTTGGCTTTTCATAGCCGATCATTAAGAGTTGAAAACAGCAGGTCTGGGACAGGTAGGGGTTTCGTAACCGCAGGCAGAACAGTTGAAACTGGAATAGCAGCAAGGCCAGGCGGACTGGGGACAGCAAGGTGTCATCATGCCCGGTAGTCCTGACGTATGGTCCTAGGGCTCAGGTTCTCAGAGAGAAAGAGAGAACGAGAGAATTAGAGAGAGCATACTTAAATTCACACAGGACACTGGATAAGACAGGAGAAGTACTCCAGGTATAACCAACTAACCCCAGCCCCCCGACACATAAACTACTGCAGCATAAATACTGGAGGCTGAGACAGGAGCGGTCCGGAGACACTGTGGCCCCATCCGAAGAAACCCCCGGACAGGGCCAAACAGGAAGGATATAACCCCACCCACTCTGCCAAAGCACAGCCCCCGCACCACTAGAGGGATATCCTCAACCACCAACTTACAATCCTGAGACAAGGCCGAGTATAGCCCACAGAGGTCTCCACCACAGCACAAACCAAGGGGGGGCGCCAACCCAGACAGGAAGATCACGTCAGTAACTCAACCCACTCAAGTGACGCACCCCTCCCAGGGACGGCATGAAAGAGCACCAGCAAGCCAGTGACTCAGCCCCTGCAACAGGGTTAGAGGCAGAGAACCCCAGTGGAGAGGGGAACCGGCCCGGCAGAGACAGCAAGGGCTGTTCGTTGCTCCAGAGCCTTTCCGTTCACCTTCACACTCCTGGGCCAGACTACACTCAATCATATGACCTACTGAAGAGATAAGTCTTCAGTAAAGACTTAAAGGTTGAGACCGAGTCTGCGTCTCTCACATGGGTAGGCAGACTGTTCCATAAAAATGGAGATCTATAGGAGAAAGCCCTGCCTCCCGCTGTTTGCTTAGAAATTCTAGGGACAATTAGGAGGCCTGCGTCTTGTGACCGTAGCGTACGTATTGGTATGTACGGCAGGACCAACTCGGAAAGATAGGTAGGAGCAAGCCCATGTAACGCTTTATAGGTTAACAGTAAAACCTTGAAATCAGCCCTTGCCTTAACAGGAAGCCAGTGTAGGGAAGCTAGCACTGGAGTAATATGATCAAATTTCTTGGTTCTAGTCAGGATTCTAGCAGCCGTATTTAGCACTAACTGAAGTTTATTTAGTGCTTTATCCGGGTAGCCGGAAAATAGAGCATTGCAGTAGTCTAACCTAGAAGTAACAAATGCATGGATTAATTTTTCTGCATCATTTTTGGACAGAAAATTTCTGATTTTTGCAATGTTACGTAAATGGAAAAAAGCTGTCCTTGAAACAGTCTTGATATGTTCGTCAAAAGAGAGATCAGGGTCAAGAGTAACGCCGAGGTCCTTCACAGTTTTATTTGAGACGACTTTACAACCATCAAGATGAATTGTCAGATTTAACAGAAGATCTCTTTGTTTCTTGGGACCTAGAACAAGCATCTCTGTTTTGTCCGAGTTTAAAAGTAAAAAGTTTTCAGCCATCCACTTCCTTATGTCTGAAACACAGGCTTCTAGCGAGGGCAATTTTGGGGCTTCACCATGTTTCATTGAAATGTACAGCTGTGTGTCATCCGCATAGCAGTAAGAATTCCGGCTCTCACAGACAAGAAGAAGGCAACAACTGTTGGCGCAATTATTAGAAAATGGAAGAAGTTCAAGATGACGGTCAATCACCCTCGGTCTGGGGCTCCATGCAAGATCTCACCTCGTGGGGCATCAATGATCATGAGGAAGGTGAGGGATCAGCCCAGAACTACACGGCAGGACCTGGTCAATGACCTGAAGAGAGCTGGGACCACAGTCTCAAAGAAAACCATTAGTAACACACTACGCCGTCATGGATTAAAATCCTGCAGCGCACGCAAGGTCCCCCTGCTCAAGCCAGCGCATGTCCAGGCCCGTCTGAAGTTTGCCAATGACCATCTGGATGATCCAGAGGAGGAATGGGAGAAGGTCATGTGGTCTGATGAGACAAAAATATAGCTTTTTGGTCTAAACTCCACTCGCCGTGTTTGGAGGAAGAAGAAGGATGAGTACAACCCCAAGAACACCATCCCAACCGTGAAGCATGGAGGTGGAAACATCATTCTTTGGGGATGCTTTTCTGCAAAGGGGACAGGACGACTGCACTGTATTGAGGGGAGGATGGATGGGGCCATGTATCGCGAGATCTTGGCCAACAACCTCCTTCCCTCAGTAAGAGCATTGAAGATGGGTCGTGGCTGGGTCTTCCAGCATGACAACGAACCGAAACACACAGCCAGGGCAACTAAGGAGTGGCTCCGTAAGAAGCATCTCAAGGTCCTGGAGTGGCCTAGCCATTCTCCAGACCTGAACCCAATATAACATCTTTGGAGGGAGCTGAAAGTCCGTATTGCCCAGCGACAGCCCCGAAACTTGAAGGATCTGGAGAAGGTCTATATGGAGGAGTGGGCCAAAATCCCTGCTGCAGTGTGTGCAAACCTGGTCAAGACCTACAGGAAACGTATGATCTCTGTAATTGCAAACAAAGGTTTCTGTACCAAATATTAAGTTCTGATTTTCTGATGTATCAAATACTTATGTCACGCAATAAAATGCAAATTAATTACTTAAAAATCATACAATGTGATTTTCTGGATTTTTGTTTTAGATTCCGTCTCTCACAGTTGAAGTGTACCTATGATAAAAATGACAGACCTCTACATGCTTTGTAAGTAGGAAAAATGTCAAAAATGTTATAAATTGATTTGCATTTTAATGAGGGAAATAAGTATTTGACCCCCTCTCAATCAGAAAGATTTCTGGCTCCTAGGTGTCTTTTATACAGGTAACGAGCTGAGATTAGGAGCACACTCTTAAAAGGGAGTGCTCCTAATCTCAGCTTGTTACACCTGTCCACAGAAGCAATCAATCAATCAGATTCCAAACTCTCCACCATGGCCAAGACCAAAGAGCTCTCCAAGGATGTCAGGGACAAGATTGTGGACCTACACAAGGCTGGAATGGGCTACAAGACCATCGCCAAGCAGATTGGTGAGAAGGTGACAACAGTTGGTGCGATTATTCGCAAATCGAAGAAACACAAAAGATTGCCCTCAGCCTGGGGCTCCATGCAAGACCTCACCTCGTGGAGTTGCAATGATCATGAGAATGGTGAGGAATCAGCCCAGAACTACACGGGAGGATCTTGTCAATTATCTCAAGGCAGCTGGGACCACAGTCACCAAGAAAACAATTGGTAACACATTACGCCGTGAAGGACTGAAATCCTGCAGTGCCCGCAAGGTCCCCCTGTTCAAGAAAGCACATATACAGGGCTGTCTGAAGTTTGCCAATGAACATCTGAATGATTCAGAGGAGAACTGGGTGAAAGTGTTGTGGTCAGATGAGACCAATATCGAGCTCTTTGGCATCAACTCAACTCGCCGTGTTTGGAGGAGGAGGAATGCTGCCTATGACCCCAAGAACACCATCCCCACCGTCAAACATGGAGGTGGAAACATTATGCTTTGGGGGTGTTTTTCTGCTAAGGGGACAGGACAACTTCACTGCATCAAAGGGAAGATGGACGGGGCCATGTACCTTCAAATCTTGGGTGAGAACCTCCTTCCCTCAGCCAGGGCATTGAAAATGGGTTGAGGATGGGTATTCCAGCATGACAATGACCCAAAACACACGGCCAAGGAAACAGTGGCTCAAGAAGAAGCACATTAAGGTCCTGGAGTGGCCTAGCCATTCTCCAGACCTTAATCCCATAGAAAATCTGTGGAGGGAGCTGAAGGTTGGAGTTGCCAAACGTCAGCCTTGAAACCTTAATGACTTGGAGAAGATCTGCAAAGAGGAGTGGGACAAAATCCCTCCTGAGATGTGTGCAAACCTGGTGGCCAACTACAAAAAACGTCTGACCTCTGTGATTGCCAACAAGGGTTTTGCCAACAAGTACTAAGTCATGTTTTGCAGAGGGGTCAAATACTTATTTCCCTCATTAAAATGTAAATCAATTTATAATATTTTTGACTTGCGTTTTTCAGGATTTTTTTGTTGTTATTCTGTCCCTCACTGTCCAAATAAACCTGCATTTTAAATGAGGAAAATAATGATTTGACCCCCTCTCTATCAGAAAGATTTCTGGCTCCCAGGTGTTTTTTATACAGGTAACAAGCTGAGATTAGGAGCACACTCTTAAAGGGAGTGCTCCTAATCTCAGCTTGTTACCTGTATAAAAGATACCTGTCCACAGAAGCAATCAATCAATCAGATTACAAACTCTCCACCATGGCCAAGACCAAAGAGCGCTCCAAGGATGTCAGGGACAAGATTGTAGACCTACACAAGGCTGGAATGGGCTACAAGACCATCGCCAAGCAGCTTGGTGAGAAGGTGATAACAGTTGGTGCGATTATTCGCAAATGGAAGAAACACAAAAGAACTGTCAATCTCCCTCGGCCTGGGGCTCCATGCAAGATCTCACCTCGTGGAGTTGCAATGAACATGAGAATGGTGAGGAATCAGCTCAGAACTACACAGGAGGATCTTGTCAATGATCTCAAGGCAGCTGGGACCATAGTCACCAAGAAAACAATTGGTAACACACTACGGCGTGAAGGACTGAAATCCTGCAGCGCCCGCAAGGTCCCCCTGCTCAAGAAAGCAGAATGCGTTTTTCAGGATTTTTTTTTTTTATTCTGTCTCTCACTGTTCAAATAAACCTACCATTCAAATTATAGACTGATCATTTCTTTGTCAGTGGGCAAACGTACAAAATCAGCAGGGGATCAAATACTTTTTTCCCCTCACTGTATATATATATATATATATATATATATATATATATACAGTAGCAGTCAAAAGTTTGGACACACCTACTCATTCAAGGGTTTTCTTTATTTATACTATTTTCTACATTGTAGAATAATAGTGAAGATATCAAAACTATGAAATAACACATTTGGAATCATGTAGTAACCAAAAAAGTGTTAAACAAATATTTTAGATTCTTCAAACTAGCCACCCTTTACCTTGATGACAGCTTTGCACACTCTTGGCATTCTCTCAACCAGCTTCATGAGGAATGTTTTTTCCAAAAGTATTGAAGGAGTTCCCACATATGCTGAGCACTTGTTGGCTGCTTTTCCTTCACTCTGTGGTCCAACTCATTCCAAACCATCTCAATTTGGTTGAGGTCAGGTGATTGTGGAGGCCAGGTCATCTGATGCAGCACTCCATCACTCTCCTTCTTGGTCAAATAGCCCTTACACAGCCTGGAGGTGTGTTATGGGTCATTGTCCTGTTGAAAACCAAATGATAGTCCCACCAACCGCTAACCAGATGGGATGGCATATCGCTGCAGAATGCTGTGGTTGCCATGCTGGTTAAGTGTTCCTTGAATTCTAAATACATCACAGACAGTGTCACCAGCAAAGCACCCTCACACCATCACACCTCCTCCTCCATGCTTCATGGTGGGAACCACATATGCGGAGATCATCCGTTCACCTACTCTGCGTCTCACAAAGACACGGCGGATGGAACCAAAAATCTCAAATTTGGATTCATCAGACCAAAGGACAGATTTCCACCGATCTAATGTCCATTGCTCGTGTTTCTTGGCCCAAGCAAGTCTCTTCTTATTATTGGTGTCCTTTTAGTAATGGTTTCTTTGCAGCAATTCAACCATGAAGGCCTGATTCATGCAGTCTCCTCTGAACAGTTGATGTCGAGATGTGTCTGTTACTTGAACTCTGTGAAGCAATTATTTGGGCTGCAATCTGATCTGAGGTGCAGTTAACTCTAATGAACTTATCCTCTGCAGCAGAGGTAACTCTCGATCTTCCTTTCCTGTGGCGGTCCTCATGAGAGCCAGTTTCATCATAGCGCTTGATGGGTTTTGCAACTGCACTTGAAGAAACTTTAAAAGTTCTTGAAATTTTCCGAATTGACTGACCTTCATGTCTTAACGTAATGATGGACTGTCGTTTCTCTTTGCTTATTTGAGCTGTTCTTGCCATAATATGGACTTGGTATTTTACCAAATAGGGCTATCTTCTGTATACCACCCCTACCTTGTCACAACACAACTGATTGGCTCAAACGCATTAAGAAGGAAAGAAATTCTACAAATTAACTTTTAAGAAGGCACACCTGTTAATTGAAATGCATTCCAGGTGACTACCTCATGAAGCTGGTTGAGAGAATGCCAAGAGTGTGCAAAGCTGTCATCAAGGTAAAGGGTGGCTAGTTTGAAGAATCTAAAATATTTGTTTAACACTTTTTTGGTTACTACATGATTCCAAATGTGTTATTTCATAGTTTTGATGTCTTCACTATTATTCTACAATGTAGAAAACAGTAAAAATAAAGAAAAACCCTTGAATGAGCAGGTGTTTCCAAACTTTTGACTGGCATTGTATATTTTTTTATTTAGTTTATTTAGTAAATATTTTCTTAACTCTTATTTTTCTTAAAACTGCATTGTTGTTTAAGGGCTTGTAAGTAAGCATTTCACGGCGCATGTATAAATTTGATTTGAAGCAATTGTGTGCAGGAAATTTACTCCATCACACAGAATAACAAAGATTCCGGTAACACTTTGTTGTGACATATTTTGCGTTATTTTATGGCTGGTTATGACACCTACATAAGAGTGACAAATCCTACCACACAAGGCAAAACATTCCATTACACCACAGCCTACGTGTCAACAGTATGTTTATGTTATATATAAAGTGAGGGAAAAAAGTATTTGATCCCCTGCTGATTTTGTACATTTGCCCACTGACAAAAAAATTATCAGTCTATAATTTTAATGCTAGGTTTATTTGAACAGTGAGAGACAGAATAACAACAACAAAAATCCAGAAGAACGCATGTCAAAAATGTTATAAATTGATTTGCATTTTAAATGAGGGAAATAATTATTTGACCCCCTCTCAATCAGAAAGATTTCTGGCTCCCAGGTGTTTTTTATACAGGTAACAAGCTGAGATTAGGAGCACACTCTTAAAGGGAGTGCTCCTAATCTCAGCTTGTTACCTGTATAAAAGACACCTGTCCACAGAAGCAATCAATCAATCAGATTCCAAACTCTCCACCATGGCCAAGACCAAAGAGCGCTCCAAGGATGTCAGGGACAAGATTGTAGACCTACACAAGGCTGGAATGGGCTACAAGACCATCGCCAAGCAGCTTGGTGAGAAGGTGACAACAGTTGGTGCGATTATTCGCAAATGGAAGAAACACAAAGTAACTGTCAATCTCCCTCGGCCTGGGGCTCCATGCAAGATCTCACCTCGTGGAGTTGCAATGATCATGAGAATGGTGAGGAATCAGCTCAGAACTACACAGGAGGATCTTGTCAATGATCTCAAGGCAGCTGGGACCATAGTCACCAAGAAAACAATTGGTAACACACTACGCCGTGAAGGACTGAAATCCTGCAGCGCCCGCAAGGTCCCCCTGCTCAAGAAAGCAAATATGCAGGCCCGTCTGAAGTTTGCCAATGAACATCTGAATGATTCAGAGGAGAACTGGGTGAAAGTGTTGTGGTCAGATGAGACCAAAATCGAGCTCTTTGGCATCAACTCAACTCGCCGTGTTTGGAGGAGGAGGAATCCTGCCTATGACCCCAAGAACACCATCCCCACCGTTAAACATGGAGGTGGAAACATTATGCTTTGGGGGGGGTTTTCTGCTAAGGGGACAGGACAACTTCACTGCATCAAAGGGACGATGGACGGCGCCATGTACTGTCAAATCTTGGGTGAGAACCTGCTTCCCTCAGCCAGGGCATTGAAAATGGGTCGTAGATGGGTATTCCAGCATGACAATGACACAAAACACATGGCCAAGGAAACAAAGGAGTGGCTCAAGAAGAAGCACATTAAGGTCCTGGAGTGGCCTAGCCAGTCTCCAGACCTTAATCCCATAGAAAATCTGTGGAGGGAGCTGAAGGTTCGAGTTGCTAAACGTCAGGCTCGAAACTTTAATGACTTGGAGAAGATCTGCAAAGAGGAGTGGGACAAAATCCCTCCTGAGATGTGTGCAAACCTGGTGGCCAACTACAAGAAACGTCTGACCTCTGTGATTGCCAACAAGGGTTTTGCCACCAAGTACTAAGTCATGTTTTGCAGAGGGGTCAAATACTTATTTCCCTCATTAAAATGCAAATCAATTTATAAAATTTTTGACGTGTTTTTCTGGATTTTGTTGTTGTTATTCTGTCTCTCACTGTTCAAATAAACCTACCATTAAAATTATAGACTGATCATGTCTTTGTCAGTGGGCAAACGTACAAAATCAGCAGGGGATCAAATACTTTTTTCCCCTCACTGTATATATATATATTTTTATATATATATATAAAATATAATGTAATTGTGCACACATTGATGTCAGACATGTACCTACCCCAATGCTCTGTTGCTGATGACTGGGATACATGCAGGAGCAGATTTCAGGAGCAGGACAAGACACCCTCTTTGTGACTGATGACTGACATAAGGGCGTGTACGTGATAGGCCTATCTGGCTTATATGATTATGATGGTCATAATGCTTCTTGACAGTGTCATAAAGTGTATTTTCTTAGTCCAAGTAAAGTGACACCGGATGGTCATAATGCTTCATGACAGTGTCATAAAGTGTATTTTCTACAAGTTATTTAAAATATGATGAAAAAAACAACAACAAAAGGATTTAAGAAACAAACTTTAAAACAAAACAAAACCAAGATTTCTACTACAGAAGAAGAACAAAGATTTTCTACTAGTAATTTTGATTACTAACATACCCATTTCTGTGTGCTTTGAGTGATAAAACAGATAGAGAACAGTACCTTTACCTTTTCCATCTTTCCTGCTGCTCTGATGATGTGCTCTCAGCTCCTCTGACTTGTAGAAATCAATACTGGCGTAGCCAGGGTTGTTCCCCAAACCAGTCATGTCTCCCATCATGACTCCCCCACCTGCCCCATTGTGGACTGGAGAGAAGATGTTGTGGGGGGCAGTGGCTCCCCCCTCCATTTCAGTCTGAGAGCTGTCCTTATTAATGGCCAGGTCAAGATCAATGTAGTTAAGGCCTTGTTTAGCAGACCCAGAGGATGAAGCCTGGGCTGCGGGTGCATTCTCCCATGGTGAACCCCTCTCCAGCCCTCCGTGCCGATGAGGCGCTGCTGCCTGGGCGCTCTCCAAGAACAAGGAGCCTGAGGAGGACAGGTGGAGGGGGAGAGAGGGAGGAGTCATGATGAATGTCTCAGAGCGGTGGCGTCTCCGTCCCAGTTGGTCGCCCCTATCAACCCTGTCTCTGGCCAGCCTGCTGCTCTGGTTCTGATCAGGAGATGAGTAGGACTTTACTGAGGGGAAGTCCAAGCCTGATTCCTGCTCCATTGATGAAGCTTGGGCAGTGTGCATGGTGGGCGGTGCAGGGTTAGGCTCTGAACCCATGCTGAAGGCCATCTCTGTGTAGTCTGTATATGAAGTGGGTAAGTCTGTTGGCACTGCTGCCAAATGCCCACCTACATTGTCCTCTGCTGCCCTAGGAGAGGGCCTACTACGGGCCACAACTCGGGGCTTGGGGGCAATGGCTGGGGGCAGGCAGAAAGGTGATTTAACAGGGGTCCCAGGGGAGGTGCAACGGGAGTTTCCCATCCCCAAGTCCATGTTGACGTACTCAGCAGAGGCAGCCAAGGCAGCGGAGGTGGCCAGCGGTGCAGAGAAGCTGCGGGGGAGGTTGGTGGAGCCACCATGGCAGAGGGCTGGATGGTGCAGGGGCCTCGGGGTTCCATGGGTCACAGACAGTCCGTGCTCTGGCCCCCACTGGCCCCCTCTCCTGCCCCCCACGTCACCACCCCTGAACACTATGCTGACGTACTCCCCAGGGCTCTGAGGCACTGTGGGGAAGAGGTTCTCCTTAACCCTGGGCAAGGTGTTAGCTTTAGACATGTCCACAGACACACTGAGGGGACGAGCCTTCCTCTGCTGACCCCCTGGACCATGCGATGCACGTTTCTGCTGGTAGGATCCGTCCTTAGAGCGTGCTCCCCCATTCCTGAACCCTGGCCCCGTTCTTGTTAGTCGTAGCCCTCCCCCAGCTGCCACTGACATGGGCCGGTCCTCCAGGCTCTCACTGCTAGCTGAGCTGGAAGAGAAGGAGGAAGAGGAGAGGCAGAGTTGACAGCCTCCTGCAGGGCCAACTGTGGCTGTGTCCCTCTTGCTGTAGCCCACTTGTCCACCCCGATTTCCAGCACTGTCTTGGTCGTGATGACCACCCTCCTTCCTTTTCCCTTGATCCAAGTCATCCTTGAAGCGTGTGGAGAGCGTGTGTTTGTAGGATCGTGGCAGAGAGAAGTAAGAGTAGATCATCTTGGGTTGTAGCGGGTTCTGTTCAGGTTGTGAGGGGGGTGTGCTGCAAGCCGAGCGGATGCTGATAGGAGACATGTTCATGTAGTCACTGCCAGCCCGGCTCTCCATGCTGCCCCTGCTCCCCCACATGGCCATTCCAAGCATGTCTGGGGAGCAGCTGCTGTTGGGGGACATGACCATGTAGCCCTCAGAGACAGGCAGGCGAATGTGCTGGGGGGGGGACATGCTGTTGTTGGGGGTCATGGCCATGTACTCATCATCAGCCCCAGGCTTGGTGCTGACGTCAGACACGGCCACAGACAGGGAGAGGGAAACAGGAGGAGCAGTCACTCCAGGTAACATGGACATGTAGCCACTGTCCATATGTCCCCCTCCTCCTCCTCCTCCTCCTCCTCCCGCGTCTCCTCGGACCACATCAACCCTCGCCTGGGTCTCCCCAACCATGGCCCCCGCTTCCAAGCCCCCTGCTGCGGAGCCCCCTGATCCACGCCGCCGCGACACAAAGGCGTCCCTGCTAACACTCCGTGACATGACGGCGTACTCTTGGTCCTCATCCTCCTCTTCCTCCTTCCTACGAGGGGCCAGGCGTTCGTGGGCAGTCAGGGGCAGGGAGGCCCTCTTGCTGAGGAGTCTGCGCTCTGCCTCACACTCCCTGCTAGAGGAGCGCCGCAGCATCCTCCGGCCCTGAGGACGCTGATGGGACCCAGGGAGGCTCTCTCTCTGGCCCATCACTATGTAGCTGGAAGATCCCTCTCCATGAGCATGGTGTCCAATCCCACCATTGGACCCTCCAGGTAGACTGGGGACCAGCAGGGAGTGCTCTCCAGGGCTGGAGCCATACTCGTCTGAGGAGCCGTAATCACTAGGGGAGCCCGACACAGAGACTCTCTGAGGGACACGGGTGTAAGAGCAGATCGCTACACCTCCCATTGCCCCTCCGACTAGTCCACACTCTGAGCCATGACCAGAGCTGGAGGAGAGGCTTGGGGCTGGGGAGGGGGCTGGGTTGGGGGTGTAGCGGGCCAGGCTGAGAGTGATCTTAGCTGGGGTTGGAGCTCTGGTGGGCTTGGGTCTCAGGGTGGGTGTAGTGGAACAGGATCCGTTCAGGCTGGGACTGGAGCTTGCCCATGCCCCTCTGGCTCCACCTCCACCCTCCTCTGTCCTTCCCCCGATGCTGGCTGTGCGTGCCCTGGGGAACCCGTGGCGTGGCGTGGGTGAAGTGCTGGTGCAGTTGGCCCCACCTGCTCCAGGGGTCTCGGTCCGGGCTCGTCTGCCAAAGCCCACCTGGCTGGGGGGCAGATTGGGGTGGTGGCGGCGGGTGGGGACACTGATGGGGTTGGAGGCGGTGCCCCCACCGCCTGTAGCGCCCACAGACTGAGACTTACTGCGCTGGCGGAACTCCTCGCTCAGAGCCTTCATGGCCTCCAGCAGGGTCTCATGCATGTTCTGGGCCACCACCGAGTCCTCCACCTGCATCCAGAACTCCCCAGGCCCCGTCATGGCCGAGCGGCCCACCTCGATGAAGAAGAAGTTCTCTGAGTGGCCGCAGCGACGCACGTTCATCAGTTGTAGGACCACGGCGGCCACGTCAGAGTTGAGCTTGACGAAGTTGACTGTCTTGTCGGTCAGGCACAGCCGGTAGATGCCCACTAGGTTTCGGGCCTGGCCAAGCCCTTTAGGCCACACCTTGACCTGCCACACCTCCTTGAAGGCGGGGCCTGGAGGAGAGGGGAGTCCACACTCTCCACCACTACCACAGTCCTCTGGGCTTTTACCTGCAGATAATCACAACGAAGACACATCTCAATAAACAGCAAGACAGAAAGCTATGCAAAGAGATATAGAGACGTAGAGAGAGACAGAAGACCGAGAAAGAGTGGAGAAAGACATATGTTGAAAATAGAATTGAAAATATTTGGAGGAATCATGGGGTAGCACAAGACGAGGGTTGACAGTCAGGAGACAAAAATATTCTATACAATATTCTTATATTATCAAGGTCAGAGTGAACGTCAGTTGTAGCACATTCAGCACATTTAAAAACTCTGCACTCTGACTGGCTTAAAAATCCCTGTCCATGTGAGAGACACGTGACGACAGGTTTTGTTTCATGAATGCATTCATAATAAACATTAATTGAAGACGAAAACACTCATGTAACAAACAAACATCCTGCTGCATGATGCTTTAGAGCGTGTGGTGGATTGACATTTGATATTGTGTAAATAAGGCCTTTCTTCAACACCATTTCTTTATAAAATATTATTGGGTTGGTACAATCAAGACTGTTAATAATCATGAAAATGATCAATCTTTATAACCTATTAATAACCTAATGTGTAAATACTCTGTAACTACAGGTTAATACAAATGGAAGCCTAGCGGTTAAGAGCGTTGGGACAGTAACCGAAAGGTTGCTGGTTCGAATCCCTGAGCCCACTAGGTGAAAAACATGTCTATGTGCCCTTGAGCAAGGTACTTAACCCTAATTGCTCCTGTAAGCAGACAGACAACTAAATGACTAAAATGTCAAATGTAAATGTGAAATACAGACCATCACATTGTAACTCCAGATGTGTTTCATGTAACAACATTCTTGCTCTACTGAAGAAACCTAGGCCTACTGTTTCATTTGTGTAAAGGCTATAGTCTAGATGTTAATTACATTGGCCTATAGAAATGGAAAATACCATAACTAGAGGTGTAAAATAAAGAAGATGTAATGTTGAGGAAATGTTGTGCATATAATACAAATCATATTTATGCAATAAAATATAGCCACATTATTACAATCATTATTAGGATTGTTGATACCATATTACTACTGAAACGATAGCAGGGTTAAGGTTAGTGTTACAGAATAACAACCTAAACACCAGAGAAACCGATAGAAACCAGTTTTCCAATGAAAGCACGCAGACGCTGCGGCTCTCCTCCCTGCCAGGCAACGCCATAGCACAGAAATGTAGGTTACGCGCACGACATGCAGAGGGACGTGTTGAAAAACAAAAACAGAGAGCACTCCGGTACTTGGCTGCGTCCTCTGCAGTATGCGCTTTGAATGATGGTGTGGTGCAGCCTATTTGGTCGCGAATACGATTAGAAAATCATATTGGTTCATCCACGTTGCAATAATTGTGTAGGCTAACATGCAGCAAAATGAAAATGGTCAAAAATATTGGTTAATGTACCAATAAATGATTCAGATAAGGTACTGCTCAGACACACACAGACACAGCGCATGCAGCAGTGGTCCACCACCCCTCTTGAACTGCTATGCAACTGTTCATTGGATAGGCCTATATGTTGATTTATAATAGGAATATCCTGTATTTAATTTACTATATGCATAATTTCTACAAAGAGCATCGCACGTGTGATGGGCTATAAAAAATAACATGATGTCGCGATACAGATCTGAATGTCAAATGGATGTCAATCCAGAATGGCTAGCTAGACCAACATTGGCCAATGCAGACTAAACGTGCAAGGGGAATATTGGGCATAGTAAACTCTTACATTTCCACTGAAGGTCCAGCATGGCCTGGTACCATTCATTCTGGACATCCTCACTGTCTGCTGCAATGGCAAAGCTCTCCCCGCGGGTATACAGTACTATCATGTGCTTGTTCTTGGAATCTGCCCGCTTGTTGATGTTGAAGCAAGTCTCCAGATTCAGTGCTTTTTTCGGGATAGGTGACTTGCTTCGGAATTTCTTCTCGTTCTCATAATATTCTAGACGGGCAGGGCCCTGTTCCGAGGCTTCCCTCAAAACGAAGAATCGCCGGTGCATAGATTTCTGCTTACGGAGATACCCGCTTTTCCGAACGTCCTCGTAGCTCTGCTGTTGTAGCAGCTCCGCTGCCTGGTTCTCCATTACTAGACAGGTCTCCTGTTTTGCTTGCTTAAAATCTCCCCACTAAAACGAGCAGGCCATTAATTCATTATAGCCACATTCCTCTTCTCCTTCTCATCGTATCCATAGAGTGAAGCATCCAATAAGCCTTCGGAATAAGCGAGCTAATTTGAGCATGTGTTATTTCTATAAATCAGCTTTTCCCCCGTCTGCGCGCACACACTGGCGTGCACATGCGGCGAGCGACGTCTGCACACTGCTCCCTATAGTCAACCTATGCTGCTTGCTGGAGTACTAGGACTACTCCTACACAGTCTGTTTACTGTAGCCTGACCTACTACTCTGCATTGACTCACATTGATGCGCCTCTATGCATGTTCATCTACTGCACAGTGAAAGCCAGTGATCGCATGTTTTACCATCGATGGACTGATCAATAAATATCCCATACGTTGGCCAATAGGCTAAGTCCTTCTATAAATTAGCCTATTTACAGTGGGGAGAACAAGTATTTGATTCACTGTCGATTTTGCAGGTTTTCCTACTTACAAAGCATGTAGAGGTCTGTAATTTTTATCATAGGTACACTTCAACTGTGAGACAGAATCTAAAACAAAAATCCGGAAAATCACATTGTATGATTTTTAATTAATTAATTTGCATTTTATTGCATGACATAAGTATTTGATACATCAGAAAAGCAGAACTTAATATTTGGTACAGAAACCTTTGTTTGCAATTACAGAGATCATACGTTTCCTGTAGGTCTTGACCAGGTTTGCACACACTGCAGCAGGGATTTTGGCCCACTCCTCCATACAGACCTTCTCCAGATCCTTCAGGTTTCGGGGCTGTCGCTGGGCAATACGGACTTTCAGCTCCCTCCAAAGATTTTCTATTGGGTTCAGGTCTGGAGACTGGCTAGGCCACTCCAGGACCTTGAGATGCTTCTTACGGAGCCACTCCTTAGTTGCCCTGGCTGTGTGTTTCGGGTCGTTGTCATGCTGGAAGGCCCAGCCACGACCCATCTTCAATGCTCTTACTGAGGGAAGGAGGTTGTTGGCCAAGATCTCGCGATACATGGCCCCATCCATCCTCCCCTCAATACGGTGCAGTCATCCTGTCCCCTTTGCAGAAAAGCATCCCCAAAGAATGATGTTTCCACCTCCGTGCTTCACGGTTGGGATGGTGTTCTTGGGGTTGTACTCATCCTTCTTCTTCCTCCAAACACGGCGAGTGGAGTTTAGACCAAAAAGCTCTATTTTTGTCTCATCAGACCACATTACCTTCTCCTATTCCTCCTCTGGATCATCCAGATGGTCATTGGCAAACTTCAGACGGGCCTGGACATGCGCTGGCTTGAGCAGGGGGACCTTACGTGCGCTGCAGGATTTTAATCCATGACGCCGTAGTGTGTTACTAATGAGACTGTGGTCTCAGCTCTCTTCAGGTCATTGACCAGGTCCTGCCATGTAGTTCTGGGCTGATCCCTCACCTTCCTCATGATCCTTGATGCCCCACAAGGTGAGATCTTGCATGGAGCCCCAGACCGAGGGTGATTGACCGTCATCTTGAACTTCTTCAATTTTCTAATAATTGCGCCAACAGTTGTTGCCTTCTCACCAAGCTCCTTGCCTATTGTCCTGTAGCCCATCCCAGCCTTGTGCAGGTCTACAATTTTATCCCTGATGTCCTTACACAGCTCTCTGGTCTTGGCCATTGTGGAGAGGTTGGAGTCTGTTTGATTGAGTGTGTGGACAGGTGTCTTTTATACAGGTAACGAGTTCAAACAGGTGCAGTTAATACAGGTAATGAGTGGAGAACATGAGGGCTTCTTAAAGAAAAACTAACAGGTGTGAGAGCCGGAATTCTTACTGGTTGGTAGGTGATCAAATACTTATGTCATGCAATAAAATGCAAATTAATTACTTAAAAATCATACAATGTGATTTTCTGGATTTTTGTTTTAGATTCCGTCTCTCACAGTTGAAGTGTACCTATGATAAAAATGACAGACCTCTACATGCTTTGTAAGTAGGAAAACCTGCAAAATCGGCAGTGTATCAAATACTTGTTCTCCCCACTGTATGTGCTTACAGAAATACACCTCTTAACTAGTCAGAAATAGAAAACAAGATCAGTCATCTACAGATTATATTTTTGTTAGCCATATCACTGAATTTCTATGCCAACATTTTTTATTAAATTATTCAATGAGGAATCCCTTCTCCTGAGCATTGACATATTTATCCAATCATGCTTTCATCAGAGCGTTTGCGACACCCGTTGGTCACTCCCTATATGGGTTTATATTTTTGCAAATTTTGTGGGCTATACAGCAAGCAGCCTGCATTGATCTGCTTGACCGCTCTACAGGAGGTAATCAACACCTTGCACCGATGGGAGGCCAGCAGGGTACCCACACCTCCACCTACCCTGCCCACCCCATCGGTTGGTCCACCAGTCCCAGGTTCGGAACCCAGGGGGATTCGGCTCTCGCTCCCGAGGGCGTATGACGGAACAGCTGCCGGGTGTCAGGGGTTCCTCCTGCAGGTGGAGCTCTACCTGGCCACTGTACACCCGGTGCCCTCGGGATACGAGAGCGTTTCCGCCCTCATCTCCTGTCTCACGGGCAAGGCGTTGGAGTGGGCTAACGCCGAGTGGAGGAAAATTGACGCCAGCACTGTCACCTACGCCGAGTTCTCCCGCCGCTTCAAGGCCGTGTTCGACCATCCACCTGAGGGCAAAGCGGCGGGGGAGCGTCTAGTTCATTTGAGACAGGGGAGGAGGAGCGCTCAGGTGTTCGCTCTAGAGTACCGGACTCTAGCGGCGGATGCAGGGTGGAATGCACGGGCTCTCATTGACCATTTTCGATGTAGCATACGAGAGGACGTTCAACGTGAGTTGGCCTGCAGGGATACCCATCTTACCTTCGACCAGTTGGTCGATATGTCCATCCATCTGGACACCCTGCTGGCCACCCGTGGACGTCCCGAGGGGAGTCCGTCCATTCCGCCCTCCGGCACCTCCGAGCCGAGCCCTATGGAGCTCGGGGGTGCCGGCGCTAGAGAACGGAGGAGGAGGAGCCCGAAGGGGTCTGTCTCCTGCAACAAGTGCGGTCGTGGAGGGCACACTGCGGCCAGGTGCTGGGGAGGGTTCTCCGGGGGAGAAGACAACAGGCCACGCACTGGGGGGGCCTCCCAGGTGAGTAGACGTCCCACTTACCCAGAGCTTTCTGTTGCGCACTTTTGTATACCTGTTTGTTTTCCACAGGTTGCACCTCATTCCCAGCATAAGGCGCTAGTAGATTCAGGCGCAGCTGGGAATTTTGTTGATCGAAAGTTTTTGTTTTGAGTTAGGGATCCCTCTCCTACCTGTCGACAAACCTTTTCCCGTTCATGCCTTAGATAGCCGCCCGTTGGGGTCGGGGTTGATCAGGGAGATCACAGCGCCACTTCGGATGTGTGCGCAGGGGGGTCATGAGGAAACTATACAGCTGTATCTGATCGACTCTCCTGCGTACCCAGTGGTGCTGGGGATTCCCTGGTTAAGCACCCATAACCCTGCTATTTCGTGGCAACAGAGGGCTCTCGATGGGTGGTCTGCTCAGTGCGAGGGGCGATGTCTGGGTGTTTCCGTGGGGGCGACTTCGGTGGAAAGTCCAAACCAAGTGCCCGCACTGCACATTCCGCCTGAATATGGGGATTTAGCTCTCGTGTTTAGCAAAACTAGGGATTGCGCGATTGATCTCCAGTCAGGAGCAGCGCTCCCACGGAGCCATGTGTATCCTTTGTCTCAAGAGGAGAGAAAAGCTATGGAGACTTACATAGCCGAATCTTTGAGACAGGGATACATTCGGCCCTCCACTTCTCCCGCCTCCTCGAGCTTCTTTTTTGTGAAAAAGAAAGATGGAGGGTTGCGCCCGTGCATTGATTACCGTGGTCTCAATCAGATTACTGTGAAATACAGTTATCCACTCCCTCTGATTGCGACCATGACGGAGTCATTGCATGGAACGCGGTTTTTCACAAAACTGGATCTCAGGAGCGCGTATAACTTGGTGCGCATTAGGGAGGGTGACGAATGGAAGACAGCGTTTAGTACCACGTCAGGTCATTTCGAATATCTCGTCATGCCATATGGGTTGATGAATGCTCCATCAGTCTTCCAATCCTTCGTAGATGACATTTTCCGGGATATGCAGGGACAAGGGGTGGTCGTGTACATTGATGACATTCTGGTGTACTCGTCTACCCGAGCCGAGCATATAACCCTGGTACGTCGTGTATTGAGGAGGCTGTTGGAGCACGACCTATATGTCAAGGCAGAGAAATGTCTGTTTTTCCAGGAGTCGGTCTCCTTTTTGGGTTATCGGTTGTCCGCGTCAGGGGTGAGAATGGAGGTGGATCGTGTGTCCGCTGTGCGTAATTGGCAAACCCCAACTACTGTAAAAGAGGTGCAGCAGTTTTTGGGCTTTGCGAATTACTACCGGAGGTTTATCCGGGGTTTTGGACAGGTGGCAGCTCCCATCACGTCCCTTCTGAAGGGGGGTCCGGTGCGCCTGCAGTGGTCAGCCGATGCGGACAGGGCCTTTAGGAGACTGAAGGACCTGTTTACGTCGGCTCCGGTGCTGGCCCATCCGGATCCCGCATTACCCTTTCAGGTCGAGGTAGACGCGTCTGAGGCTGGTATAGGGGCCATTCTCTCTCAACGGTCCGGCACGCCACCTAAACTCCGCCCCTGTGCTTTTTACTCAAAGAAGCTCAGCCCGGCGGAGCGTAACTATGACGTTGGGGACAGGGAGCTGTTAGCTGTAGTTCAAGCCCTTAAGGTGTGGAGGCATTGGCTTGAGGGGGCTCAACACCCTTTCCTCATTTTGACTGACCATCGTAACCTGGAGTACATCCGGGCAGCGAGGAGACTGAACCCTCGCCAGGCTCGATGGAGTATGTTTCTCACCAGGTTCGTATTTAAAATCACGTACATCCCTGGGTCCCAGAATGGTAAGGCGGATGCGCTGT